CCCCCCTCAAGTTTGTTTGCCAGTATATGTTATTAAATCAATTGTGAACATTTCCCCTTGACAGTATTTATACGCCTGTGATGATGTAATGCTAGATACTTCAGAGAAGAGAAAATTATTATTTTTAAAATTACTAAATTTAGAGTTAAGACGGAATACTTTCCATTGATTTGGGAACTTGGCAAATACAGCTGGAGAATAAAAAATGGCTCTGCTGTATTTGTCAAGTTCCCAAATCAAAAGAAACTATTCCGTCGTAACTCCAAAATTAATACAATTTAAAAAGAAAAACATTTTTCTGTTGCTATTGCCTGTCTTGTTTTGTCAGCCAGCTGCCAGGCTGACATATCAACGTGTCACCGGTGCCAGACTGATTATTTAAATTTATTTACACCATCACCCTAAATGGTGCATTGAGTATCGTACTCCAATTTGGTCTTTGCTCTCTTTTATCTCCTCGCGCACCTCCCCTCTCATTCTTCCCTCCCCTGTTCTCTCTTCAGCATTTTCTTATGCAATCAAACTTTCACGTTTCAGTTTTCTTCCGTCTTCAGAAGATTTTTGGCACATTTTTTTCTAAATTGTTATACCGGAAAATTGCATTTTGTCTTTTATTTTTTACTGAAATGCTCAACAATAACCTCGCCAGGACTAACCTTGACCGTATCTCTGTTTTCCATTCAGAACCCTTTCTGTCCTTAAAGAGCCCGGCCACATCTCGGGCGAGGATCAAGTACCAAACTGAGCAGAAGGTCGCACAGCTAGATACAGCACCGCCAGACAATAATTATTATGGCACGAGACGACTCCGGCCAGACGAAACAGCGACGAAAGCAGAAGTCAGATGACCGTGTAGTTAACGGACCGCAAAAGACAGGAAACATGTGAGTATCGTTTCATTTCGTTTCGGGGTTTTTTTCGTTTCGTTTTGTTTCGTTCTTAGTAAGAGTTAACAGATCTTGCAACAAAAATAGGTCATATAAGTGCCGGAGATTAGAGGTTTTACTAAAGAGTAACAAAATAAAAGAAGAAAGAGAAGAGATTAGGGTGGTGGATGTGTGATAGAAAAGAAGAAGAAAACCACATCAGAGCATCCGTCAACCACCCAATAGGTTTTGGTTTAGTTAAAAATAGAGGCGACATATTTTACCAAGCCAATAGGCACCATGCTCTGCTCCGCTTACGAAGACTCTAGAAGACATTTCTGACAAAATGAGGTTTGGGAATTTGCGTGAATGCCATCTGCCTCGTAATCGCTCTTCTACGTTATTCCGACCCTGCCTGTTAGGATCAAACCGGACTAAGAGCGATACAACATCAGGGCAGAAAGGCGGAGATGCTCGATAAATTATAATTATTCTCCCCTTTCGGAAATCGAACTCTGGTCTCTTGCGTTCGACTGCTGGGTGCCTTACCACTACACCTCAGATGCCAGTGCACATGTGTTCGTGTACTTACGCGATTGCTCAAGACTCATTTGTTTAATTCTTATATAGTTATAGATCTAGTGTGTTAGTAAGTGCGGATATGTTTTGTTTTTACTGTGCTGTTCTTTCGTGTATATAATTAATGTAGGTTTGTAAAAGTTCTTCTTTATGTGGTTGAACTGGGTTTTTTTGTTACTGTAAAATATTTTCTCTTGTGTAAATTGCTCAATGATCATGTGATTGATGTAAAGCGCCCAGTTCTTATACTAGCGCTATACAGATGCAATCTATTATTATTATTATTATTACTTCCCAGGTCTAAAGACACAAAGAAAAGACTGGACACTAAGACGCGACAGATGGACGAAAGTTTCCATGCGGATCTGTGGTTCATTCTAGCCCTGGATAACTGGATCTTTGACTTTGGTCGACCCATCGCGGCTGTGAGTTCTGTGTCATGACT